AGTAATATTAATATTTGCTTTTCCTAATGCTTTACACAAGTGATGTTGTCATTATGCCAGAAACCAAGACTGATGCCCTATCTATATTAAATATTACAAAAAGTCCATGTTGTTCCACATACAGATGCATCTAAAAGAGTAGAAGAAACTGAAGAATATAAGAAGATGCAATGAATATGGAATTAGCAGAGGTTACAGAAATACCTATCCAACAGCCAGAAATATCAAATCAAATTGAAAAGGATGTTCCAGTACCTCCTATCTCAAATTTGACTTTACTGGATCTAATTGTAATTCAAAGAAGGGTGCTTTCAGATGAAGAAAAAGAAATCCTTAAAAAGTTAGATCAGCATACAGAATTTTTGCCTGCAAGTTTTGTTGAAGAATTATTGATGGAATTAAAAAATTATTCAAGTTCTTAGACTTAAAACAAATTAAAGATCATTGGTATAATAAATACAAAAGAAACAAAAATACTTAACTTTTTTAATATTTCCATTAGTTAAATGGTAAAAATTTTTTTTTCTATTTCTAATTCATCAAATAAATAATATACCTATAGAATTTATTATTTTAAATATTGATATACTTAGTCCATTCAATTTATTCATTTTTTTTTTGTTAATTGTAAAAAAAGATTCAGTGAATGATTTTTATGTGAATAGTATTAAAAGTCTCTGAAAGAGTTTTCTTGAACCTCTCTAAAACTTATTAACCAACATCCCCTATAAAGTAATAACCATATGAAAGCTTAAAGTATTCTACATCTTGTCTGTTACTATCAAGTCTTTTAAAGCAATATTGGTAGATAATTACAACTTTGAAGTGAAAAAGCACCACTACTTTTAAACAGCCATAGCTTTATATAGAGAACATTCTCAGATATAAAAATATATGGTTAGAAGCTTAAATGGTGTAGTTCCTTTTTATCTTAATAGTGAAGTTCAAGTTTATTATTAGAAAGTCGAGATATTTTTAAACCCCGATTTGTTAGACAGATTTGAATTTTTAATTTCACATATATTACACATGTCCCACGACTGTTATGTAATAAAAAATTACATAAAAATTTTTTTTCGATTTTGTTCTGTTCATGCATAGTAGTTATCTTTTTCCAAATAAGAATGATCATTGGGTGCCAAATCTCATTTTGATAATAAAATCATTCAACTTCAAACCACTAAGGACCTCAACCATAAATTTCTATTCCAATCAAACCAAATATACACTGGACTTCTTCAATTCCTAAAAATATAGGTAATTGTCCATAGAAATTATTTATTAACAATATATTTCTTTACAATTTATTGGAGTAGATTTTTTATTAGATAGTAATAGTAAATCAAAAACCAGTAATAAAACAGACTAACCAAGTGAAATATTGTGAGTTATTAAGTCCATATATTATCGTTGTTTAAAATTAAATTATAATCAACAAATATTTATTAATATAATTTTAAATAGTGTAAGTATTTTAAGAATGGTGGTGGTGGTCGCCACTCATCATCACTCTAGTTCTAATCAATACATAATAAATAATTTCTTTCTGAACTGTTTTTTTATTTAATTAGTGCAAATGATAAGTCACCAGAGTGTCAAGATTATACTCAGTAGGTTTTTTTATCATTTTCAGTACAATCATGAGAAAAATTACAATAAAATTCTATGATCATCAATTGAATCACAAAACAAAAAATCTTGTTTACATTAGTGATGGTGACAAAGAAATTTTATCTGATGGTGAGAATTTGCTCATTCTATTTATCAACTGTCCTAAAACTTTTACATTAACCTGACATCTGCTTCCATTATGTAAAAGATATAATTGATGATAATTCAGGTTGTAGGACTCCAGTGAATCAAATAAAATCTGATAAACTACTCAGAGCTGCTACTGAAAGTCTTGCAAGTCCAGATGAATCAAAGTATTATTTTTTTTACTCTGAAAATATTTATTGCTTAAATATTCTTGTTGTGCATACATTCCAAATACTGAATGGGTCTAACATTGAACAGTACTTCAAGGAATTCATTTCATATTTCAATGAATACAAAGAAATACAATTAAGTGATCCATATTCGTAAGTGTTCAATTACCTTCTCTGCTTTACCTTTAAAAGAGTGTTTACTATATAATGCCACACAAAGTCTTGCCACTGAAGCACTAATATCTTAATATCTTTAATGTATAGATGTACAAATGATGATGTAATGGACATTTGTGGTGAATGTTGGAAGCAAATTTTAAATGATTACTTTTTGGTAATCATACATAAACATTATTTGCTTTTATAAGATTTACAAATCAATTGTTCATACTTATAGGAGACTATTTCAAGTGGTGGGTAGGGTTTGTATTCATGAATATCATAAGGGGGTCACACAGGGTCACACACTATCAAAATCAAGTGATCAACTCATGTTTTTAAGGGATTTTTTGCTGTTTTAATTAATAGTGTGTAACTCCCTTAATGATATTCATGAATAAAAACCAGGGCTGGCTGCGTAACTCAAATGAGCACTTGGCTAAACTGACTAAACTATTTAGTCATTGTTAAGTCAAGTTTAGTCAAGATGATTGTTACTAAATTAGGGTTTTAACCCCTTTATGCTGCCAGCCCTGATAAAAACCCTAGTGGTGGGTCACCGAAAACAATACGTGAGTGGGTCAAGGTAACTGATGAGCTTAATGCTGTCAAAGATAGTGATATCAATGAAGCTATTAAGTTCAAAAAAATGCCTTAATTGTGTCATGTCACCACTGTAAGCATTACATATTTAAAAAGACAATTGTTTAATTCATATCATTTATTCATTGGTTGGTTCAACTAATGTTTAACTTTTCATCTCATTTTATCTGCTGGATATCGGCTTACCAGATACATCTGAGCATCATTATTGGGCTGAATTTGCACATAACTTCTTTTCAAAGGCATTACAATACTTTGCAAATTTAAATTGGATGATGTAAGAGTTGGGTTCAATAGGAAAATTTTAATATTGCATTGAATTGATCTTATTGAATTTTTTAGTCTGGAGGTCCCAGTTTATGCTTCAAAAACTTTGGATTAAATCATGCACTTGAAAAAGTTGTTGATGGGAAGTTTGCAGATATTTTGGCACAGACTTGGGATACAAAAGAAGAGCTATTTGTGGGTGAACAAGCTAATGCCCCAACAAATCCTGATCTTACAAAATATGCTACTGACTGGTTTAAATTATATAGAGAATTACGAGATTGTTTAAATTTGAGGATATTACAAGCAATGAAACTAGGAGATATCAATTATAATGATCATTTAGTTTTTGGAATACTTGGTTACTTATATGAAATGAAAATGACAATTATGTGGAAAGATGGTATTTATATTTATGAAGAATTTGGTAGTTTTACAATAGCATCACACATTAGCATGATCCACCAAATGAAAGCTCGAATTATAAAACTTCTTGAATTTATGGTAAGTCTTGTTTATTATCACTATCTTATTTGAAATTTTATCTGACATATTCTTGATCATTGTTTTGCAGATGATTATAAAGGAAAAGTCATCCAAAATTCGACATTTCAGTTTTAATGGTGGTGAGGTACAAATTTTAAAAAGAAAATTCCAAGAATAATAACTCAAACACAAGAATCATCACCTAAAAGACCAAAATCAAAGGTTGCAAGCTAAATGTGATGATGTATTTAATATCTGTCTTTTCATATTTCCATTCCTCCTCCTTCAACTTTTTCTTCAACTCCTCCAACTTGTCCAATTTCTCCTCTGCTTTCCTTAACCTTTTTTCTGCCTTTCTGAGCAGAAATTAAAGAATTCTTTTGACAAAGTGGTAAAAATAGCCTTAGTCAAAGCCGAGTAAGGGAAGAGTTGGCAGATTCTTAAAATATAAAAAAAAAATTTTTTGTATCTATCAGTCAATCAGTATTTCTCAAATTATAGGGGACTTGCAATGCAAATTAAAATTTCTATAAGTTCATTGTTTTCAACAATCTTTCTTTCTTTATTTGAATTCTTAAAAGATTTAATATAAAGAAAGTTTAATAAGTGAAAATAAATTTTTCAAAATAATTGTATAATAATGAAAAAAAAAAAGATGGCAACAATAAAAGAAGAAAATTATTCTAAATTTAACGTTAATAATAGTATTTCTATCCATGATGACAGAAAAATATGATGGATTAGAAGTTATTCTGATGTTAAGAAGTGGGAAGAAGAGAAAGATGGCAAGATTTTATTGGAAAGTATAGTTTATTTGTGATTGTATATTAAGAATAAATTACTCGGGTAGAAAATTTTATCACTCAAATTAGACACAATTTCTTCCATGAGCCCACAAATTTGTAAATGATAGCCAAGAAAATATCATCATCTTATACTACTACCATTACCACCAAAACACTAAAAGCTACAAAAAATCCAGTTAATAATGAAACATCTAAGTCATTTTTAATGGACAGTAATAAATTGAACAGTATAGATTATGATTGTGCTAAACCAATAAAAAAATCATGATATAGTTTCAATATTATATTTATACATGAACCCAAATTGGTTTGGTGATTTTGATGGTCAAAATTATTCCAATTTTGATGGTAGAAAGTAGAAATTAATTATGGCATTCACTATTAAAAACATAAGTGTAACACCCCTTTACTACATGTGTAACCCCCTTTATGACAGTGTCAAAATACTTTGGGCTGCATGTATAATTATATTATTTGCTTTAACAAAAAAATAAATCCAATTGAATTTTTTAAACAAAACAAAAATTAATATTAAGAGGGGTAGTTTTCGCTAACAACTTTAGTTTCCTTTTAAGAAAAAGATAAAAGTAAAGGGACTATTAAGAACAACAAGAAGCATAAGTTGTGATAAAAAATATATAGGAATTAATTCTTTTTAGAAATTATTATTATCACCAATTCCAGTAAAATTTTGAACCCTAAAGTTTCTTCACAACATAATGTTCACTTTATCTGGTTTTGTTGCAAGCATGCCCTATATATCCACAATAGCATAGTGGACATTTGATTTCATTGGCTAAATTTTGTGACGATCTCCCTTCCAGATATCACGCAAAAATTAAATTTTATTGGCTTGAAGATCATCATGCAAATTTGAAAAACTTAATATCGGACGGAGGGAAGGAAATTTAGTTTCAAATTGATAAAAATAAAATGTTTATAATAAACAAAAAATTTAATATAATATTTATTTAGTGAATGTTTTTAATACATGAGCTTGGTTTTTTCTTATATAGTCTAATATATTATTTACTTTTCAACTTCATCAAATCAACATTTTACCTTTGATCATGAATTATCATCCATTATATAATACTGTATATATATATATCTGATATTTCCTATAAATAAATAAATTGGTAACGGGAATATGAATGAATATATGGATTTTGAAAATAAAAATATAAATATGTAAATATATAAATATAAATATAAATATATATAAATATAAATATAAATATAAAAGAAATATATTTTAAATACATTTTTTAAATTGTATACATCACTTTATAATTGCACACTGAGTACATCTATTGTTGTTTAAAAATCCTTCTTGTTTTTTAAATGCATCATTAAAAAATCAAGAAATAATGTTCTCTAATTCTGTAATTAATCAAAATACATAGGTGACCTACTTTCAAAACAATTCTCTTGAATCAATATCTCAATTCCAATGTGTCAGACAGACTGATTTGCAGACTCTGATAAACCAGAATTTTTGATGCTTATCAAATCACCCATTACACAAAGAACAGACTGAGGTAAAAAAAGAAAATAACTCAAATCAATACCAAAAACCATTTGTCAGTAAGATTTCCTATTCAATCTTACACATAAAACAATTTTGTTTGTTATCAATCACCTTTTTTTAAAAAATTTTTTTTTAGAAATTAAATTATATATATATACATTGTAATAATTGAATATTATTAAACCTCTTACCATCCCCAACAACGATCGTTCCCTTCTTTTTTTCTTTCTTCTTATCATTTTTCTAAATTTTTCAAAGTAATTAATATTCTGCACCAACTTAAATAATATGAAGATTGAGCTTGGTTTTTTCTTATATAGTCTAATATATTATTTACTTTTCAACTTCATCAAATCAACATTTTACCTTTGATCATGAATTATCATCCATTATATAATACTGTATATATATATATCTGATATTTCCTATAAATAAATAAATTGGTAACGGGAATATGAATGAATATATGGATTTTGAAAATAAAAATATAAATATGTAAATATATAAATATAAATATAAATATATATAAATATAAATATAAATATAAAAGAAATATATTTTAAATACATTTTTTAAATTGTATACATCACTTTATAATTACATCCTGAGTATATCTATTGTTGTTGTTTAAAAATCCTTCTTGTTGTTTAAATGCATCATTAAAAAATCAAGAAATAATGTTCTCTAATTCTGTAATCAATCAAAATACATAAGTGACCTACTTTCAAAACAATTCTCTTGAATAAAAGAAGAAAACAACAATTAACTCTCAAATCAATACCAAAAACCATTTGTCAGTAAGATTTCCTATTCAATCTGATCCACATAATACACATAAAACAATTTTGTTTGTTATCAATCACCTTTTTTTAAAAAAATTTTTTTTAGAAATTAAATTATATATATGCATTGTAATAATTGAATATTATTAAACCTCTTACTAGTAATGGTTCCTCTAAAGATATATATGCATGTTTGTTTAAATAATTTTTTCATTATAATGAATAAAAGATTATCCAAAATTTAATATATCAAGTTTATATAACAAAAAAAAATAAATAATAATATTTACAAGTGAGAGTTTATCTTGTCAATAATAATGATGTTATGATCAAAGAGGATGAACAAGAAGGTATAACATTAATACATGGTCATGGAGCTTTTATAAAAAGGGTGTTGTCTCAAATATAAAATCCTATATAATAATAATAGACTAAAAAAAGATAATGGTTAATGATAATTTGTTACATTAAATTAAAATGAAGAAATGATTATTTCTGAAATGCTTGTAAAGTTTTAAATAAACATATTATAAAACAAAAATGCATGATTCTGAAGCAACTTGATCATTTGATCATTTTTCACACACATACTGAGAACATAAAAAGCAAAATATACACGTTAAAAAATACATCTCAGGTTAAACAAGTTTTTTGTGCACAGTCACGCGACTTTTTTCTATTCTAAATTCAATTCAGTCAGGGAGATTTCCAAATTTGGAAATCAATTCTAGAAATTTTGTTGATCAATTCATATACACTACAAATG